TGTGTGTGTGTGTGTGTGTGTGTGTGTGTGTGTGTGTTTGTGTTTGTGTGTATAAAGTGTTATGTCAAAGTATAACACTTTGACATAACACTTAATTATTTCCTTGGCTCAGGTGATAAGGGAGGAGAGCTTGTGGCTTAGAGGATAATACAACTGCCTAATATGTAATTCAGCCCAGGTTCAATTCCCAGTAAGGGTATGGCTAGCTGATGAGAGCTAAATAGCTTGAAATAGATCTATACTAGTCTCCCTTTATTTATTTATCAGCACAAATACAACACGCACACACACACACACACGTATATGTATGTGTATGTATGTACATATATATGTATGTATGTATGTATGTATATATATGTATATATGTGTATATATATGTGTATATATATATATATACACACATACACACACACACTTAGACACTTCATAGTGCTTTACAGTCCACTCTTAAGCAGTTTACAGAATCCACGTATGCCCCCCCCCCAAAAAAAAACCTGCATCCTCATTTTACCGATGTCAGAAGGATGGAAGGCTGAGTCAACCTTGAGTCGGTCAGGATCAAACTGCTGGCAGTGGGCAGAGTTTGCCTGCAATACTGCACCCTAGCCATTGCGCCACCACGGCTCTTAATTTCATCAAATTTATTTGTTCGTTTGTTTGTTTGTTTTACTTGTAACATTTATTTGTTACCCGCTCATCTTGCCACATCCTGTGCAGCTTTACGATATTAAAAGATAACATTGTATAGTTTATAATAATATAAATTATTTCTCCTGTCTCGTATAAGTTCCGCAGGGTCTCAACCGACAAGACTTTAGTTGGTTTAGCAGTAGCTTTTCCTTTTTTTTTTTTTTTTGGCTCTACATTCCTTTTGGAATGTAGAGCAAACTATAGCAGGATGACTTTATAAAATAAAATTGCAGAAGAAGAAAAAAGGGAAACAGCAGAAGAAAAAAGAACGAGAGGAAGAGGGGAGTGAGGCAGAGAATATTATTCAAACTCATGCCCTTTGCCTTTTTGCTTCTTCTGTCATTTTATTTCCCCCCTCCCTTTGTCGTGTTTATTTTGCAAACAAATGTCTATGTAGGCTTCCTCTTACATAATTTTACACGCAGTTTCAATAAAAAGAAACGGTCAGGCTATTTAGAGGCTGAGGACAATAGTGGAAGACGTTGAATTTGGTAACTTGTGTTAATTTCCTCTTGAAAAGTAGGTTTGTCACTGGGGAAATGGTTGATCACTGTTCAAGATGTTGTAACCCCGTTTTAAGCAAACCGGTTTCCCAAGCCCCTGAAAACATTGGATCACTTTGTGAATGTCTAAATCGAGCTGTGTTTTTTTTTTCTTTTCTCCAAACTGTCCCTTCTTCAGATATTCCGGCTGCTTTGGTGAAAACCGCTTTTAATTTCGACGAAGGCAGCGAAGGCTTTGTGGTTCATTGGCTAAACAATAAGGAGTTCCACTTTACGTCGTCCACGGAAATATTCATGCAGCACTTACGAGAACTGGCAGATCAGGAGATGAGAGAGGCGGAGGAAGATGCGTTTCAAAGAGAAGCCGTAGAGAAAGAGAGAGGCTTGCGCATGAAACTTGATCATGGTTAGTTGCCGATACTTCTCCTCTCTTCAACGGACTCATAGTTATGACGGTTGCAGTGTCCCGGGGCGGGGGGGGCAGGGACCATGCAATCAGCTTTTGTAACCTTCTGACAAGCAAAGTCAATGGGGATGCCACAATCACTTAACAACGTGTCACTGACTTAATAACCGAGGCGATTCACTTAACAATCGTGGCAAGAACGGTCATAAAAGGGGGCAGAACCAGGGATGGGCTGCTAGGAGTTCTCCAGGGTTTAAGAGAATCCATAGCTAACATTATAGCCGGTTCGGAGAACCTCCAAATCCCACCTCTGGCTGGCCACGCCCAGCCCTTCCCACACTGCCCCTCCCAGGAGTCTCCATGCAGCCCATTTTGGATGCTTGGTAAGTGTTGGGCCTGTGCATAGGTGTGGGGAGGGGGGAAAACGCGCCTCCTGGAAGTTCCTGGAAGGCCGGAAATGCCCCTTCCCCCCTCTGCCGCCATGGTGCAGGAGGCTGACCAGGCCACCCCCACCATGGCCATGCCCACCCAGCAACTGAGCAGAGAACCTGTGGCTGAAATTTTTCAAGCCCACCCCTGGGCAAAACTCACTTAGCAACCGAAATGTTGGGCTCGGTTGTCGTAAGTTGAAGACTACACAGAGTGAGAAATGTTCGATAATACTTTGAAGGATCCCGATTTCCTCACCTTGGTGATCAGCCAACTCACGTTCTAGCAAGTTCAAGGAAATAGTAAGGGGAAATTGTCCTGGTTTCTGTATATTCCCTATGAGAAGCTTAGATGAAACCTTTTCAGTAGCCATTAAGTGCTCAGTGCTCAGAATAGGAAATGCTGAATGAGGGTAGTCTGGAATTGTGTGTCTCCCGTTCTTTCTTTTTCCGTTGTCCTCAACCCAACGTCATCCACCCAACGGCTCCTGGTCTTCTGATCTTTTCTTTTAGAGCTGTCCCTCGACAGAGAATCTGAAACGGGCACCGGCTCCTCAGATCACGACGATGGAGAAAAGGAGGGAAGTCCCAAAATTCTTTCTCCAGCTGCTTCCCCGGTTCCACTTCCTACTATCTTGCTTGACAAGAAGATTGAACTTCTGCTTAAAGAATGGAACCAAAACCCAGACATGCTCTTCACCATTCATCCCGTCGATGGGACCTTTCTGGTGTGGCACGTGAAACATCTCGATGAGTACAACCCAGGGATCTTTCGACAAGTTCAGGTAGATGCATCTTCCAAGACTTCACTCCTGTATTCAGAGAAGAGGAAGGAAGTATTAAAACCCACGGTCTCCTTTTGATGTCCTCTTGCCCGCAGATGCTATTTGATGATTTTTCTAAGTGCAGGTTAAATGCAATGATGCATTTAATGGCCACATCTAGTTTTCTCTTCTCTCCTCTCCTTTTCTCTTATCTTCTGTCCTCCTCTCCTCTCATCTCTCCTCTTCTTTTCTCTTATCTTCTGTCCTCCTCTCCTCTCCTCTCTCCTCTTCTTTTCTTTTATCTTCTGTCCTCCTCTCATCTCTCCTCTTCTTTTCTCTTATCTTCTGTCCTCCTCTCCTCTCCTCTCTCCTCTTCTTTTCTTTTATCTTCTGTCCTCCTCTCATCTCTCCTCTTCTTTTCTCTTATCTTCTGTCCTCCTCTCCTCTCTCCTCTTCTTTTCTCTTATCTTCTGTCCTCCTCTCATCTCTCCTCTTCTTTTCTTTTATCTTCTGTCCTCCTCTCCTTTCTTCTCCTCTCCTCTACGTTTCTCTCCTCTCCCCTCCCCTCCCTATTCCTATTTCTATTCTATCTTGTTCTGATAATGTGTGGAAGCAAACGTTGGATAGAAAATTGCCCCCACAATGTCAAAGTTTGCCAAAGTTAATGTTGGGGGGGGGGGAAACAGCTGGATTTGACCAGCCCCATGCAATATGGATAAGGGTGAACCCAATTTTCACTGGCTATGGTAGATATGCAGGCACCCTCTATAAGTGAGAGAAAATAACATCACCAAATTGCCACCTGGGGCTGAAAAAAACAAACTATCCAACATATAAGTCAGAGTAGTAATGATGCTGTGTAAATTCTGACAATGTAGAGGCAGAGAGCCAAAACAGGGCCTATCATAGAGATTTCCTGGCTGAAATCTCTGAAGCAGAAATTATATATGTAATCTAGGCATACGTTTATAATATTTTAGATTTTATACAGTTTGTATGTCAACTCATAAAGTTGCCATGGTGAGGAAAAGGGGGGGGACGCATTCCACGCATACTTTCAGCTAGAGTCGAATCTCAGGTTACTACAGCAGGCTTGGGAGGGGTGCACCTCGTTGGAGAATGTGATTTATGACACAGACTGAGGGGAAGGGAAGGAACAAGGGTAAAGTTCAGCTATAATTCAAATGAGGCTCAGATCTGACTGCAATAAGTTCTTGCCAAAATGGTTCTCCTAATAAATGACTGGTTTTCTTTTGAAACTTGGCTCGAGACTCATGAATCAATGAGGGCATCTTTCGGAAACCTGACATTGTATTTTTTTAATCTCTCTGCGTTTTTAATCGAAATGTGATGTGAATGCGCCATACGATAAATGAAACAGATAAATGTCCTTCCTTTTCTTTCTAGGTTTCCTTTTCTTCTCAGATTCCCGTGGCCTTCCCATCAGGCGACGCCAGCTCCCTCAGTAAACACATCATGATGTACGCCTGCCCAACCTTCTTAAATGAAAGCAGCAGTGTCCCCGCATGGAAAAGAACTAGCATTTCAGGCAGCCTGTCTGGATGCAGACCCAGCAGGTTCCAGGATCAGTCGAGCGGAAACTTGTCCACTCCCACCGTCATGATGATCTCCAAGCACATCGACGGCTCTTTAAACCAGTGGGCCGTTTCTTTCGCGGATAAATCCGCCTTTACCACGGTCCACACCGTAACTCACAAGTTTCGGTACTGTGGCCATCGGTTCCACCTCAATGATCTGGCTTGCCACTCAGTGCTACCGCTGCTGCTGACCTCGTCCCACCACAACGCACTTCTGACTCCCGAGGTTGATGCCCCCTGGGATTTGGAAGGAGCAAATAAATCAGCGGATTCCTTGGGCCCCACTTTGAGGACCCCAGCCAAGCAGCACCTGCAAAATGCAGCCACCCGTACGTTCTACAACCCGGATGCGATCTACAGTGAGCTGATCCTTTGGCGAGTGGATCCCATTGGGCCTCTGTCCTACACAGGAGGAGTATCGGAACTGGCGCGCATTAATTCTCTCCATACTTCTGCTTTCTCGAACGTGGCCTGGCTGCCAACTCTCATCCCTAGCTACTGTCTGGGTCAGTACGATTATCTCCTCTCTCCCAGCATAGGAAGCCAGAATGTTCATTCCCCCTTTGTCATGTGCAAGTAACCAAGAACCCGGAGTTGAGTTGAAAGCTCTAAAAGTGTATTAGATACAGGTTAACAGAGTTGAAAGGGACCTTGTAAGTCATCTAGTCCCCCCCCCCTTCCCAAGCAGGAGACCCTACACCATTTCTGACAGATGGCAGCCCAGTCTCTTCTTGAAAGCTTCCAGGGATGAAGCTCCTAAAACTTCTGAAGGCAACTTCTCTTCCACTGGTTAATTGTTCTCACTGTCAGGAAATTTCTCCTATATTTCCAGGTTGAATCTCTCCTTGGTCAGTCTCCATCCATTATACTTTGTTTGGCCTTCAAGTGCTTTGGGAAATTGTTTGACCCCTTCCTCTCTGTGGCAGCCCCTCAAATATTGGGAGACTTCTATCCTGTCTCCCCTGGTCCTT